CTTTGTTGTAACACACAGGAGTTCTTCAGCAGAAGTGCCTCTAGATGGTACTTGAGATGATTAGTGGTCTTTCTTCCCCATCCTCACCCCCACTCCCACTCCACTTTCTCCTAGAACCTTTTACTTCTCATTTTCTTTCTCTGTTTTTTTTCCATTTTAATTATTTCCTTTCTTCTCATCTTATTTCTGTGCCCTTCACCCCTTCCCCTAATCTTTTCCTTCTTTCCTTTTCTCTTTTCTCTCAGGTCAGCAAGTGGCTCATATTTTTATTGCATAGCCCTCCTAATTAATGTTAGGACCAAAGAACAGCTGATTCCTACTCTGCTTTGATCCACCTATACTGTTAAGTGACATTTAAAGTCATCTGGGGGAAACCAGCTAACTTATTTAATCGTAGAATGTTTTCTTATATCTGAAGTCAAATAGTACAACAATAAACAATCGCCTATAGTCACCTTTTTCTCTCCATTAGGCTGCTTCCCTAAAGGATAAGTGGGGTTTGGGTTACAAACCAAGTTATAGCCGATCAAAAAGCATTTCTGCTTCAGGAAGACCACCTTTTAAGCGAATGGAAAGGGCAAGGTAATATATATTTCAACCAATGAAACAAGTAATAAAATTGCTGACTCTTTTACCAATGTCCACTACTTTTTTATTGTGTTCTAACTGGGGAAATAATAAAATTAAGATAGCAAGAATGGACTTTATTACTAAAACAACAATAGTGAATATTGGTAAATTTAGAAGTTTATTTGAGGAATTTCTTTATAACATTTATACCACAATGCTGCCTGTACTTTTTGGTAATGAAATACACTGTTATTTAGATGTTTTATATGTAAACTTATAGACAATCCAAAGAAATTAAAATGCGTATATTAGTAGCTGCTGCTCTAAATTTGCCAATTTAGAAAAGGTATGATTGCACGTATGTTTAATATTTGAAAATGTTGATGTTTTATGTATTACTGAAGTAAAATACTGTTTTAGTAGTAAATCAGCACTATAAAGTAAGAAGTATAAATTCTTTATGTGGTTTAGTTTTAGGAAATCTTGTGAGTCAATAAAAATATTGCATCTCTTTTACGGGATACTAAAGGTTAAAAATTGAAATGCTGAAAGTTCTCCCCTTTGATAAGGTAAATATTTAAAAATAGAATGTTAATGCCATTAATCAAACTTTTATGAAGTCCAGGTATATTTTTTTTAAATGAGAATATTAGTGTTTTATAACTTTATATTTTACTTACAGTTCTCGTGTAGGAGAAACTGAAGAGCTCCCAGAAATTCGTGTGGATGCAGCATCTCCTGGACCCAGAGTAACTTTTAATATCCAGGATACAGTAAGAGAGATATTATTTGTTAGAGATATACATTGCAAAATAGTTTTTACAAATTATGAAATTATAGTATTATACAATTTCAAAATACTGATTTGTGCTTAAATTGAAAGATGTGGATTGTGATGGTTAAGTGTCTGAATATTACCAACTAGTGAGGCACTGTCACCATGCCGTCATTTGAGAGCCATGCTGCACAGCAAGTACCATTCAGTTTTATACTGGAAAATTCACATACCAACATATTTCCACATGAATAAAGAGAATATTTTGAAATCTTAGCATATGGGTGATTTTTACATGCATAATAAAGACTCTGTAACTACTTGCTCTTAGAATGTTTTTTATTGAGTAATTTTTCTTTCAATTAAGAATCCACATCAAACCATGTCTTTTATACAGGTGTAAATGTGGAATATTTATACATATTTATATATTTTAGTTCTACATATATAGACAGATATATGGATAGATAGAAGCAGAATCCAGAAAGGTGAACTTCAAAGTTGTATTCTAATTCCATAGCATGTTAAAATTTATGTTAAAATGTTTGTTTTGTTTTGTGTGTATTTGTTTACTTCTGAAACATTGTTTTTTATTTTTCATGAGTTTTAAAATTTTTCTTATTATTTTAATTAAGTTGAAAAACACAGTATGGGGAAGTACACCACATTGTGTATTTGTTTACTTCTGAAACATTGTTTTTTATTTTTCATGAGCTTTAAAATTTTTCTTATTATTTTAATTAAGTTGAAAAACACAGTATGGGGAAGTACACCACAATCCAGCTGTCCTGGGGAAGGGTATTTTCAGGTATTTATAAGAACAACATAAATCTTGCTTGAAAACTAATTAACCACCTTGAAAATCTGCTTTCAAAATGTCTTCCTCTCATTTCAAACTAAATTCAGACATCAGAAACATTTTACATAAAGCTTTAAGGTTCTTTGAATTCTTTTTCATCATGTATATTTCATAAGCTCTTGCATGCATATATTTTAGTTTTATACTTCTATATAATTTAATATTAATTATTTTAAACTTCAAAATTAAAAGACTAAATCTGCTTATCAAATCAACTCAACCAAATCATAAGCCAAAAACTGCAATTTATTAGTTATTTGCTAATTCCTAAATTAATCTCTTTCCTTACATTCAACTACAAATTGAATCTTTTCAAAGATTAGTTAACTAGTTCAAACCAGAACCAAACCCAACTCAGAACAACAAATTAATCACTGAGTGTTATTTCTTTTAAGTCACTGGTATACACTGGTATTAAAGAGCATTTATAAAATTACCCATTT